TCTTACCTGTGCAGCAGCGCTGAGATGGAGCTCTGATCCCGGGAGGTGATGGTACTCTTGCAGATGCATTCTCTGTTTTCCAGCCGTTTTGGCTTTGCTGTAATTACATGCTAACGACCTAGCCCCACCGCAGATGACAGAGTGGGGCCTAATGGATAAAGGTCATTGCGTGCAGGTGTGGGGCATCCCCAGGTGACACACAGAGTCAGTCTTTGTGGGGAAAAAAAACCTAAGGCAACTATGGTGCAACATCTAAGAGTACTTTCAAAAATATCTTCTTTTTAGCTGTGACATGGAGCAGCCCTGTGACCCCCTTGGGCGCTGCCAGGGCAGAGGAGTCTCACCAAGCCAGAGGTGAGGGATGGGGCTGGAGGACAGCGTGGGAATGCGGGAATTTGAAGGAAGGGAAGCACAGCCACGATCTGCTGCTCTGCCGCACGCCGCTTGGATTGCTCCGGGCAGGAAAGGCCCTGCAAACCCCGAGCGAGGGGACCCGCAGCTGCAGAGCGCACCCCTGCCTGGCGCCCAGGCACGCCGGGTTTGGTTTGCTGTCTAACTTCGGATGAACGATTGCTCCTGTCCTGCCTTTCTGAGCAGCGCAGGCTTCCTTCGCTGACCTACATACGTGATGAGGACTATTCATGACCTCTGTACATCCATCGGATACTAATCAAATAAGTTAATAAGAAATAAACTACTTGTGCTGGTACTGCAGTAGGATCCAGAGGCTGAAGCAAAGGTTAGAGCCTTCTTAGAGCCCAGTGCAAGGAAAAAGGCAAGAATCAGCATCTTGATGCTAACGACCTAACAGAATATATCATCCCAGCTACATTTGAATTTAAATAGTCTGCAAAATCTGAACCTCTTGTCCTGAGTAACTGAAAATCAAACCCTCTTCTCTACATGCTGGAGTCTGCAAAGAGTAAAGAACATCCACGGAAGACAGACCACTCTCTACCATCTCTTTCCCACTAGGTTTGTGGGGCTTTTTTTGTCTCCAGGTGCAAAGATTCACCAGGTTGTGACATTTAATGTTATAACAAGTTCACAGAAACAGCTGTCCTTCATTTAAGCAATAAGTAAAGAAAATGTCTTCCATGCCCTTTTGCTAAGTCTTGTGCTTTATGGTGTCACAAGGGATAAAAATATCCTTAGTGTGAGAGACCCTTTTCTATAACCACCTTTGACATTCGCCGGAAGATTTCCTGCGGGGAGTTTGAGGCCCCATCTGCCCACAGCAAACAGTAACAACAGATCTCCCCTGAGACAGAACTTCTGCACAGTGCTTTGAAGACACTGAGTAGTGTCTTTGCCTCTCTGGGTTGGCTCTTAGGGAGAAGTAAGAAAAAGTCTCCTCCGCCGTGACACAATGCTGAGAGAGAGCCCAGGTCGTGCTCAGGGGTACCTTCCCATCGCCCCAAATGAAGCACGAGTTGACCAGCATCTCCAGGAGGGGCTGGTCCTGCCACGGGCGTGCAGGTCCCCCAGAGATTCTTCCAGCTTTTCCTTACGATTCTGTGATGACGACAGCCGTCAGATACCCCGACCAATCCCCCACTGCTCCCGCTGTGCAGAAGGAGCCAGAGACCAGACTCCACTGCGATGGGCGTGCAGGGGACGCCCCGACGGGGCTGCCTCACTGCAGCAGGCAGTGTGCTCGCTGTCTGCTGCCAGACGCAACACCCAGGGACTTTTCTTTGCGCTTTAGACCGATAATGGTTTGCACATGTCCCCTCCTCCCGTTCATACACTCGGGCTGACGGAGGCTGGTCCCGGATGGGTCGCTTGAGCGCGGGACAGCGATGAGCTTTTCTCGCAGCGCTGAGCACGCCGAGCTTGCTGCTGGGGAAAGCGACGGACAAGGAAAATTAAAAGGACGAACAGATATGGAGTAATAGTATGTTTGTAAGAAAATTAAAGATTTGCTCTTCAGATGTTCCAGGCGATGCAGTTAGCAGACAGCTGGCAAATGGGAGCGATTGGGAATGATGGAATAGATCAAATTATTTAA